ATAATCCTGGCTTCTTTACATCCAGTCCTTGGCACATTCAAAGTCTTGTGTCTACAATGTGTTTTCATGGTTTTCAAGCACTGGGAAGCATGGTCTCTGCCCACCCTTGTCTGGTTCTTTACATGTGCCATTTTTAGGCCTAGTTCTACCAATTGATTTTTCTCTTCCTTCCTTGTACACCTGTTGTTGTTTTTTTTTTTTCTTTTTTTCTCTTATTGGATTCCAGACACTAATTTTTACATTATTGGATACTAGAGATTTGTGTGTTCCTTAACTAATTCAAGGCTTTGTTTTAAAATGTTGCCTGGAATCTATTCCTTTCTTTCAAATTTTTTTCTAGGCTTTCTTTAGTAGGTCTAGACAGCCATTAGTAAAGGCCTAATTTGGCCCCACCTGCCACAACCTAAAGAGCTTAGAGACTGACCTAGAATGCTGGGGAATGATAGACGCATATACAGAAAACATGGGATAGGATGGGCCATGCATTCTGATGGAGACACACCAATAGCAACTGGGAAACTCCGAGCACTAGCTAATCCAGAAATCTAACCTCGGGAAGAGGACATCTGTTGGAGACCAGTCTCTGGTTGCAGCTGTCTGAGAGGGGGAAGCTATGGCTGAGTTTCTGGACACACTGGTTTTAGCCAAGAGTTAATCTTTAGCAACATCTGTACTTGGACCAGAAGGAAGCTTCACCACATCTTGGGAAGATTTGCTATTCCCATCATGAGTGGAACCTTGTTTCATGTCTGAAACCTTCATTTCACATATTTCATCTGATTTCTTTAGTTAACTGTCCTTGTTATTCCCCTCATGAGTAGAAAAGAAAGTTCTTAATGTCATTATAAAATAAAAACATTTCTAAATGAATCAGTGAAACCAACTTCCCTTTTTTGAAATTGTCAAAGACCCACAAAAAATGGACTCATTTTAAAGCAAGCCCTTCATCAAGGGCACTCAGCAGAAACCATAACAATGTTAGCATTTTTAGATAACAGTTTAATTTAGCTGGGCTTGGTGGCACATGCTTGTAATCCTAGCTATGCAGGATCTGAGGCAGGAGGACCATAAGTCCAAATTCAGCCTGGGCTCCACAGTGAGTTCAAGGCCATCCTGCACAATTTATTGAGATCATCTCAAAATAAAAGTGAAAAAGCTGAATAAACAGCTGAGCAGGAGAGAACTTGCCTATAATGCAGAAAGTCCTACCTCCAGTCCCCCGTAATGGCGGTGAGGGGTGGGTCAAATGCATTGAGGTCACGGAACATCTTCAAAGTGATTCACCTGTCTGGCTCAAAAATCATTATGATACCTTAAGAGTTACAAAGACCATTGTTTCGGGCTGCTTGTGGTGGGGCATGTCTTTAATCTCCGTAAGGGCAAGTGGATTCTATAAGTTCAAGGCCAGACTAGTCTCCATAGAAGTCTAAGCTAACCAAGGGCACACAGTGAGACACTGTCTTAAAAAAAAAATCAGTTTCAATAACCATTTTAATATTTTCTAATGTAATATTAAAGCAAGTTATTTTCCAATTTTTATGTTTTAGCAACAAAGAAAACAAAAAAACAGAACAAAACAAAAAAGCCATGATTGCAGCACAAATCTGTAGAGACAATAAGAAGGGAAAGTAATGGAACAAACAAACACTAGCCCGAGCAAGCCGGTCCTGCTTTTTCTTACATGCCCCGCTTCGTATTGGTAAGACCAGATAATGAGTCGTGCTTTTTCTTTGTAACAATTCATTAATCAGAGAAATGATCCTTGCTAGTGTTTAGATGTTTTACTTAATTTGGTACCTCTGGCCTGCTGCCCCACTCGTGCCAAAATTATTATTTCTCACCCAGCAGGTGATAAATAACAACTTCACTCGTGATTAATACCACGAATCCTTCAACCTGACTAATGCAAAGGGAAAAAAAAACAGAAAACAAAAACCACAACTGGGGACCTACAGGCAAGTGGGTGATAATTGTGAGAACTGCAGAAGCTCTGCTCCACTTTCGAGGGGCCACCCACGGGAAATGAGGCGTTCGCCAACCGTCCAGCTGATCCGCTGAGGCTTCATTAAGCTCATCTCAGCAATATTCGCCTCTGCAGCCCCACGGCTGCATGTTCTTGCTCCTAACACTAAGTTCTAAGTACCTTCAGAGAACAGAGACCAACTCGCTTCTGCCTGCATCTAAATACATATTAAATGGGTGGCTGACCCAATAATAAATGAGAAAATGGAATTCTTACCCCAGTCTTAGACACCGTAACGGGTCATTTGGGAGCTACCCGTTCTCTTGTTACTTCTGAAATGCTGCAATCGTGCACAAATGTAGTTTTGCTCAAACCCACAGCAAAGTGAACATTTGCTACCGGCAAAAAGGAAAGCTCTTTGCAATGGCCAGTCACTAAAGTCACGGGGTGCCGTCAACTTCATTACTACGCTTAGCACTAGACACAACCAGTGGTCGGGCAGGGAAAGGACGCTGAACCTTCTCCACACACTCCTTTCCACAGTACTTTTCTTTGCTGTGTGTAGGGGGAGGTAATTCACCTACTAACCTACTAACCCTGGATGCTCTGACACACATAGGAAGCATGCACTTTGGACATCCATACTTCCCAGTTTTAGTCCCAAGTCAAACGGATTTAGTCGATAAGGTGAATATGGCCTACAGATGTTTGGCAAACTAGGCCTTGTTTTAATGCCTTTACATAGGGGAGTTCTAACATGGCATAGCTCCCACCGCTAACACCAGTCTGCCTCACTCTCCTCGCCACCTTTCTGCCTAAGTTTGGGACTGCTTGCTACAGAGAGACATGGGGCAGTGAAAACAAAGCACAGGAAAATGGACAGGGGTATATGACCACAAGCGGAGATCCTCAGGAATCACAGGTTAAGCACTACTTTATCTAAAAAAATGTTTTACCTTATCTACAGCAATGTGTGACAGAGCACCAAATCACTTAAAAACTGTGCAGTGGTTTAAGAGGCGAGGAAACAGAACAGGGGCTGAAACCAGGGCTGGGTGTTAGGGTTAACCAGACTCTGAAATGAAAAAAGAAACAATCTGAAACAAGACCCACCTTTACTCATTAGCCAGGCACGGAAGAGCCCACAGAAAGTGAGTCACCTCCATCTAGAGCTGATGTAGCACAGGCCTCTCCTTACACTAGGTGGAAGCAGAAGACCTGAACAAATAACCAAGCGTAAGCTGGTACTCAAGAGGCGGGAGTCTCAGCCCGGACCAGACCTAAGCCCCCAGTCCCCCAACACCAAAGCTATTAACTTTCAAAAGGAAATCTATTTTCTATGATTAAGAGAACAAAGTATTATCCAACTTATTGAAATAAACTTTATTGGGCCGTAATTTACATATAATAAAATGCAGTTTGACAAATGTATATACCTTATAAACATCAGAATCAAAATAAATTCTTATTGTCCTCTAAAAAACATGCCCCTCTGCATTTAACCCATTAAGAATAAACACCCTGACCACAGGCAGCCAGTAGGCTGTTACTATAGGTTAATTCTGATCTAAATTTCACACCCTGCCCTCTCCAGAGTGCTTACTTTACACAACCCTGGCTGTGCGTTGAATGAACACAGCACTCTAGGGGCTGGGCTAGCAGGTAAGAGTGGCCACTGCTCTGAGGTTCAGATCCCAGCACCTACAATGCAGCTGTGTGTAACTTCAGCTCCAGTGGACCTGGCCTCTGAGCATACCAGTGTACACTTGGTATTCATACAAACATGCAAAGACTCACACATACAAGATTTTTAAAACCTTTCAAGAAACAAAACCCAAAACTTAAGTGGGACAAACACCTATAATCCCAGCACTCTGGGGATGGAGGCTTGCAAGTCTCTGAGTTCCAGGCCAAAGCTACATCGTAAGGCACTTTTTTTGTTTTTCCCTCTATGGGATGGAAAGATGAAACTTAATTACCTCTTAAAAGTTGTACCCTGAAGCCTGGCATTGGTGGCACACATCTTTAATCCAAACACTCAGGAGGCAGAGACAGGCAGATCTCTGAGTTTGAGACCAGTCTGGTCTAGAGAAAGAGTTCCAGGACATTCAGGGCTACACAGAGAAACCTTGTCTGAAAGTGGGAGGGAGTGTTAACTTGGAGATGAAATGGAGCAGAGAAGGGCTCCTCCCAAAATCCCACTCCTTGTTGAGAAGCCAATGGCAACTGAGGGGAGGGAGGGTCACTTTTCTCTGGGGGAAAGGAAAGCCCCTGGTAGAGTGCCCCACAACCTACAGCGGATGACCTCACATACACGGGCAATTTGACTTAGGCTGTAAAAGCTTTCTAATGTTTTTTAAAGACAGGAAGTTGAGGAGATGATACTGGAGAGCAAGTACAAGGTAGGTACTGGGCGAAGTGGGAGAAGGACATGCCTAAAATATTTGTATGCATGTATAAAAATTTTTAAAAATTACTGTTTCTGTCTCCATTTCGCCTTTTGTAAACTGGAGGTAATAGCTACCATTAGGCGATCTGTGAAGATTGAGACAGAAACGCTTGGTAAAGGATAAGAAGGCAGCACCAAACAACCATCACTCTCAGCATACTAGTGACAGGTTTATATCGGATTCTTTAAACCATCACTAAGTGTAATGGGACAGAAAACACTGGAAAATCTGAGACGATATATAATCCTTATGTTTGCATATGAATTCCCATCAATATTCCTATGAAAACTACCCTCCCTTCACCAAAAATAAAATATCAAGATGTTCTTGTCTCCGTAAAATAGTTGTATCACATTGTCCCTGCCCTAGTGAAATAGCATTTAATTCAATTTAGGTGAGAAGCATGTTCAGTCTGTGGCTCACTGGATGACCTGCGTCACCTGTGCTTTCTCAGTGCACATTTTTAAATAACCTTCCCACGATCAGTTTCACCATGTACTGACTACTCTCAGAGCACACACATCAACTGCTTTCCTTAGAGAGTTGTTTATTCTACACATAAGAAGTTCAGTGAATAGCCAAAAAGATCAAAGAAAATGAAACAACCACAGTTGCTTAAGGTTTATTTTTATATGCTCATAAAGAAACAAAATGTCAAGATATAGAATATAATGTAACAAATCAAACAATTCAAAATGAAGGTGTACACAAAGAACAGTACAAAGAACAAGTATATGACAATATGCAATTTTTTGAGGTTTCAAAAAACAGTTTTTGGTTTTGAAGTTCTGAAACTGCTATCATATTGTTCAAGTAATACATATTTCAGAAGTAAGATTTTTAAAGTAATAATTGATGTACAAGTCTAAGACAATCTGCCTTTACCCCGGTCTTCAAAATAGTGCTGTTCAATTCTCCTACAGAAAGCAAGGAGGTTGCTGTAGTGTTTCACCTTCTCACAAAGCTCATCACTGGTCAAGCGGGTGGTGAGAATGGTGTACAAGTGGCCAAACACCAGAGCGTCGAGTTCAGTCGGCCTAAAATGAAATAAAGATGACAGAAGCATGAGAGGGCCCTCATTCTTCTGTTAGAAAGCATCCTATTTAAAAAAGACATTTTATTCATCAATTTAAAAGAAAAAGTCACAGGAATAAATCCTACCACAACTTGATAGGTTTTTTCCCATTTTAAAACATGAAAAAAACCCTATGACTTGATAGTTGTGTGACTTGTTCTGGAAGAATTACTTAACTGCATTTATTATTTTAATTAACAAATAAATAAAGTTTCCAATATTCCAGTACTATGCTAAAGGAAAAAAAAAGATATTCTAAGACATATAACGAACACACACACACACACACACACACAGCAGGCTCTCCGGGTACTCCTTACATCACTGAAAAGGTGATGTGTTTCTTATTCTACTCTACAACTGCATTGACTGAACTGTTTTCCTCACCAGGATTGGTAAGTTTTAAAGGCAGCAATGCCTGAAATTTTGCATCCCTAGTTCTTAGTACAGTGTATGTGATCTCTAGGATTTCATAAATGAAAGAAAGAAAAGGATAAGAAGGCAGTACCCTGCAGAATGTGGGATCTTTTCCTCTAACAATAGTTGTTCACAACCTTTTGCCTTCTTCCCTCTTTTGGTGCAATGATGGAGTACTATCTGAAGTGACACGTGCGACCTGGCACACGCCAGAAACTGCCACACTTGGACCCAGTCAGAAACACAGTCAATTCAAGGGGATCTTGGGTTAGAGAGCAAATTCTTATCTGAAAATAAAATAAAATACGCAACTATGGTCATGTTAAAAAAGGCACACAAAAGATGGCTTTTTTTTTTTAAATTACAAGTGCCCTTGAACTTAATGGAACCATCATTTTTTCCATCAGAAACGAAGACTCCTTACAAATATCCTTACAAAGAACCAAGGCCACGAAATGGATAGAGGCAGGTTAAGGTACTTGACTAGAAGTTATATAAACACTAACTTCCCTCCATCCCTAACACATGTCTTAAAAAGAGAGGTCTTGCACGTGGGGACTGACTGATTTAATCCAATTAGAGTGTCAATCTTCCTTCACTTCTTGTTTGGCTGGACCTTCTTTATTAGTAAGCGAAGGCTCTGGATGAGGTCAACAGTGAGTCTGTGTTCAAATTAGTGTGGGTCAGAAGTATCCTTTAAGAGATCAAAATGTCATACAGCTGTGAAACTCCAGTGGCACTGAATTTGTATACATGGCTATGTGCATACAAAGGCTGACAGTGCGACCATAGCTACTTCAAAGTTGCTTTTTATAGTTTATAGTCTATGAGGAAGTGGGATAATAACTGAACCAAACAAAGCAAACACATTATCAAAGTACATTTCGGATAACCCTTAAAATCTGAGACAATGTTTCCTTAAGTAGCCCTGGCTGGCCTGCAACTTTCTATGTAGGCCTAACCTGGAACTCACAAGTTCACCCGCCTTTGCCTCCCAAGTGTGTTTGCCGTTAGGCCCTACAAATCTTACAAATTTCAGTGATGCACATGAACTGACTGTGATTTTTATAAATTACCAATGCACACAATTCCTTTTAAAAAGGACACTTGTGAGACTGGCAAGATAGTCGTACAGGATTAAACACTGCTGTCCAGCCTGATGACTTGCGTTCTATCTCAGGAACACACATTAGAAGAAGAAAATCAGCTTCCACCCACCCTGCTGCACAGAAATAAATAAGTTATTAAAAGTTATTAATTTACTAAGTTACACAATATATGAACTTCTTAAAACTCATTAAACCAGCCTTAAAAGCGCCAATTTTTCTAAATGTGAATTTGCACCCCTCACCCCAAAGGCAACAGGTTCAGAAAACCTGCAACTCTTAGGAAAGACAAGGACAAAGCAACAAAAAATACACTTGTGGCAGAGAGATGGCTCAGCAAGCAAAGGGGCTGGGCTGCATGCCTGGTAACACAAACTCAATCCCTGGGCCTCACACTGCAAAAAGGAGAGAACCAACTCCCAAAACCGTGCTCTGACCTTCACCCACAAGCATGATCCCTGCACATACACATAAGGTAAAAACATTCTCAAAAATTTACTTTACTCAGCACTTGTACAATATATTGTTGAATCGTGCCAGGACCATCATGTATCTGCTCTTAAATGTCTTTGTTATACTAAGAAAAACAATATTACTTTCCATTCTTGTACTTAAAGGGGTCTCTGAGGGCTGTGATTTTGTGTATGGGTATGAGGCTAGTGCTCACACATGCCATTTCTCTTCCTATGATCTGTAAGATATTTTAAAGGTATTATTGCCTTCATCTCGGCAGACTTTTTATTAGAAAAATCTTCTAAAATGACACAGTCTTAAAGTCCTGCTACCTTATCTTGAATCATCAAACTTTCTGTTGATATTTATTCTTTCATTTGAATATCAAAATGAAAACAGTACTGCAAAATGTGAACATTTTCCTAATCTTTTCTATTTAAAAATTTTCTCCTGCCCATTCTTTTTTCCTAATTTATTATTATCATGTCGATTTCTATGATAGTCTTTATAGCATCATCTAATTCCAAAACCATTAATTCTGTCTAGGTGTCTCCTAATTTTTTTCTATCTTTATTTGGTTTTTCGAGACAGGGTTTCTCTGTGTAGTCCTGGATGTCCTAGAACTCACTCTGTAGACCACGCTGGCCTCGAACTTATAGAGATCCTCTGCTTCTGCCTCCCAAGTGCTGGGATTAAAGGCATGTACCACCACCGACTGGCCCTAATTTTTTTTCTAATAGTATTTATTGTGCCATGTCTTCAAACTGCTAAACATAATATCACACACACATAATAGTGAGCTTCAAAACAGCTACTAAAGGTTAAATAAGGTAAGTGTCTTCTTTCTCACTTACTGTTCTTGCCATAAGATTTCCTTTAATTTCTTTTTCCTCTCTTTCTAAAAGCAAAGATTAATTCTTTTATCAAGAGCACCAGTGAGGTGGTTTTAATTTTAGAAAGTAAAAGTAGGCTACAAAGAAAAAGAAAATCTGTCACTGTTCAATATATGTGAGAGCCAAGGGTAGGATTCAAGGCTTCTAATTTAGAATCTAATCTATGTATCTTAAGCTAATACCTTACCAGCTAAGATACTGTGTCTCACAAAGAAATTACGTCTGCCAGAGATAAATGAAAAAAAGGTTTGTCCCAGGGCTACACAGTAGTCCCCTTATCTCCAAAAATTAAATAAAATAAAAAGATTAGGTACAATTAAAAATTAAATATATTCTTCAATCACAATTGTTGGCTAGTATCATATAAGGCAAAATTTTGAATACTGACTTCTTAAATACCAATTAACCATCAAATGCATGTGTTCTGTTTTGCAACTCTCTAAATTTCAATTTCTTTTGTAAGTTAAATATAACTGATTAACAAAAGTATTACTTTTAATTTTCCTCTAAATTACATGTTAAAAGATCCCTAGTTAATAACACTTTGACAATGACTTTACCTAAAAATTATTCTGCTGCCCTCTACAAAGGACAGCATGTGCAACAAAACTCACTAGTAAATAAGAATAATAGACTTCAAAACATGAAATAGATACCCCTTCTCAACTTTCGAGCTACTGAGAATCCAGTATCAGAAAGAGAAACAACTACACAATACTAGCATGTGGGTGTATTCTTTGTGGAAGGGACGAACCACTGAAACCACAGCACTGCTGCACAAGCCCTAACCTCCCGGCCTGGTGGATCCCACAGGCCTTCTGCACAGAGATTACAGGCCCCAACTTTTACCTTAACATCATCTTATATGCCGAGTCGTATGTATGTTATATGTGTGTGTGTGTGTGTATTTTTATATTACTCATGTTAAAAAATGATGCAACTGAGCCATTTCCAAATTGTTGTCATATTCATTTTTACTCTAAAGGCTACAGAAGATGAATGTCTCTGAAGAATAGAAATCATAGCACATAAGTCCTTAAAAATCTAGGAGGCCACTGCTCCTGGGGAGGGCCTGGTTGGCTCCTAGTACCCAAGTCACAACTCACAATCACCTGTGACCTCTAGCTCCAGGCTCTGGCCTCCATAAGCATGTGCACTCACATGCACACAACCAGTCATATAAACAGAGATTAAAATAAACTGTTTAAATTACTGGAGCTGCAGAGATGGCTCAGTGGCTTAGAGCACCACCTGCTCTTCCAAAGGACCCAGATTTGGTTCCCAGCACCCACAACACAGCCCTAATTCCAGTCCTATGGGATTCAGTGCTCTCTGGCTCTGCAGGAACCAGCTACCAACCAGGCAAGCAGGCACACACAAAAATAAATATATTTTTTAATTAAAAAGAATCATCCTAGGGGCAGGAGATCACTCACTATTTAAAGCATATCCCACATTAGCAATTCAGACCCGAGTGCACACATAAGTGACAGGTGGGCACAGGGTTCCCCTGTCGTCCCAGCTCGGAAGGCAGAGACGAGAACCTCCCAGCAAGCTAGCCTGTGAGAGGAGCCCTGTCAACCAGCTCTGGATTTGACTGTAAGAGACCCTACAGACTCCATCTCAAGGCAGAAGAAGGTTCCTCACAGCAGTCTCAGGCTTACACACACAAACACGCTCATACACACGCATGCACACCATACACATACACACACACATACACGTATACCACACAAAAACACATGGAAAGAAAAAAATTATCAACCTAAAAACATTGTTTAATAATGAGCCAATACAATGATAGTGTTAGTGTTCTTAAGAAAGCCACTGAGATTAAAGTATTAATTTAAGCTCATTTTATACTGGATTTATAGAACGGACAACTATTTTCAATGCATTAAAATTATAATTTTTAATGAAGGAAAAATTTTGCCTATGTTAGCATTATTTTAAAAATTGTAATAGAACGTGAATTACTCAATTTAATACATACATATATTAGATCTATATTCCCTAATGTCTAGATTTAAGAGTATCTTCATATCTTTAAGGGATAAACAGTTCTGGTCCATCTGAGTATTCTGTTGCTTTTCTTGATGACTCTCTGGTCCTTGAGCATCATTCACTACAGACTGAGGTTGTGTTAACAGCACATTCATGGTTTTTGTTTTTTGTTTTTTTTACTTGAAAGTTTAAGATTTTGGTCGAGTGTGGTGGCACATGCTTAGAAGCACGCACAGCAATCTGGGAGGCAGAGGCAGGTGGATCTCTGTGAGTTGGAGGCCAGGCTGGTCTATAAAGTGAGTCTAGGACAGCCAGGGCTACACAGAGAAACCCTGTCTCAACAAAACCAAAAAGAAAGATTTTAATAGTTTGTATTTTCATAGCATCTTGAATTAGCTCTATCAAAATCTTTGTGAAATTACAGAAAATGTGATTGATCTACAAGACTGACCTGAAGAAAACTCAATGATAAGGACTAGATTTTAGAAATCTGTTTCCCAGAGCCAGCACTATGCCTAAGAGCCAAAGAAGAGATCAGTGTTTATGAGTACAAAAATAAACTTTGATAAGTCTTTTATGTATGTTATCTCGGCAATGAACCCTGCTGCGTGAGAGTAATACCTGTGTACAGAGGCCTCCGCCATCCATGACATGACGAGGGGACTGGAGCCCCTTCCTGGCACAAGAAGTAGAGCTGCACAGCTGGTGCAAGAAAAGCAGAGCCAGAAGTTCTGAGAAAAACCCTGCCTTTGTGACACAAGACATGTGGAACCTCTATACAAAGCAAAGCCACATCACAATGACAAAACATCTTACTGCTTATTGAAGAAATAAGGTTGTGTTCCCAGTCTCTGCGAAAGGGCTTGACAGCACTGGTCTACATCTTCTAAGACCTGCACAGGCAGTGAGCCAAAAAGAAAAAAAAAAAAAATCCAAATTAGCAAAACAATAAAAAGTATGTAAGACTATTTGTATCATAGTTCATGACAAAAACAGAGTCAGCTTAACTTTTTAAGACCACAGACCAGGTACATGACATAAATAATGCTTTTGATATTTATGGGAATTTGAGAATGAAAGACGATTAAATACAAGTACATTTAAGTTAGATCACTTTTTAACAAAAAAAGTTACTTTAATAAAAAAGAATTTTATTCCCTAAGCATTGTTTTCCTGAGTCCACAGTCAATGATCTCGCTCATCTTTGAAGGGGTGGGGCAAGGCGGCAGCTCCATATAAAGGGCAGCTGACAGCTGCCGCAGACTCACCTCACTCTCCCCAGTCACTTGCTAGGCCCTGTTCTAGCACACATCAGTGAGATGGCCGGCTAGAAATCAGGGGTAGCTTTGGCAACAAGAACACCCATTAGCTTCAAGATGCTCAACCTAATGACTGAAAATTTACTGTTTTCATTTTTTGTTACATTAGAAAACTTAGGATCCCCTCACCCCCAAAAACCCAGGTATGTTAACTACTATACTTAATAAAGTTTTTTTAAAGCTCTGATGCTACAGATCTATTTACTGACATAAAAGATTCCCACAATGTACTGTTTAGGGAAAGTTTAGGAAAATCAAGTTATAAAACAGCAGGCATAATATGATCCCATTTGAGGACAGTATTACTAAGACATCTAGAAAAATATTCTTCAAAGGAGAAGAGGCAATTCTGAGGTGGTAGGATTTCAGAAAATTTTATTTATCACATATTCTATAAGCAAATAAACATTTCACAAAACAAATAAAACTACATCTCACAAGAGAGAACAGCAGCAAGTATCTGGCTATTTATGTTACGATATTACACTGGTAAAGTGTTGTCAATTTTACTTCACAGGGGCTGAAGCTTCTGTAAACTTCACTGTGTCTGTGTACTGACCTGGTCCAGAGTCTTGTTACCCCAGCCTATAGCCTTCATTTTACGTTTCACTTCCCATTGCTTTTGATAAGCCAAAATGTGGTTCAGAGGCCAAGGGTAAGGAGATCCATACCTAGTATGAGTGATCTAAAGTAAAAAGACTTTGTGAAATGCAGAATCCTTCCTTTTTTAAAAAAATGCATTTTATAAACAATTGTAAAAAGTATGTATTTCCAGAGAGTACAAATAAAACAACTGGGGGAGGGGGGATATATAGCTTAAATATAAAAAATTAAAATTTTAAATTATTCCCTTTAAAAATATATAAACTTTATGTACTTTACAACCAGTTCTATCAAACAATGACACATAGCTTCCCTAAAATGTATGTGCAAGCAAAATTAAAGTAAGTGAAAAACTGTATCACTAATGGTATAAACCACAATGTTTCATTTATGAGCAGGGACTTGCGATTCTGAGCAAAAGTGTTTTCTCATTAAATTTTAATTAAGATGAATGCTGCAGAACCACTCACCTCCCCTACCGTAGCTTCATCACACCACTGGAGATACAACTAGGAACAAAAGAACAGTCACTGAAACTTTAAAATACTGAAAAGAAAAGGGTCAAAGTTATTTCTTGCCAGAGTAATTCCTAAGAAGCCAACTTTGTAAATCAAATATATGAGTTCCCCCCCCCCCCCATTTCTTGGCTAATTTACTACACAGAATTATTAAATTTATTGGCAGTTCTTTACAGAAAACATTTCTTTTTTACAGAACATATGTCTAAACATTATTTTATGTATATTAATAAAGTAAACTTTAAATGGCTAAAGTAAAACAGTGAGTAGAAAAACTAGAGCCGCAAACATCAAGAAAAGCACTACAGATAATGATCAAATGACTCAGTTTACCACCCCAGCCTGAGAGTCCCACTTTTCATGGCTTTAAGGTAGCCCATAAGGAAAAATTTAAATGCAAATACAGATTATACAAGACTGTATTTTATTTCAAGGCTTATAGAATCTTATACCTCTGCAGTCAGCAGCATATTGTTCACTAATTCCATGTAAGCTTTCATTTCTGCTTTTTGGACTTCATCCAAGCCATCACTAAGAGAATGGCCCTAAAGGGAATTTTGAAAAATTTTAAAAGAGCATCATATTAAATACACAAAATATTTCATTCATCTTACTATTATAACAAGTAATATAACATGTAATTTCCAATGGACTAATTTCCATAACACTTTTTACTAAACACAAAACTACTGCATATAAAAGTATACCCGAGCTGGGCAGTGGCAATGGTGGCACTCACCTGTAATCCCAGCACTTAAGAGGCAGACACAGGTGGATCTCTGAGTTGGAGGCCACCTGGTCTACAGAGCAAGTCCCAGACAGCCAAGGCTGCACAGAGAAATCCCACCACAAAAAATAAATAAGGAAAAATATACACACATAATAGTCAATCACTAAGTAGTATTAATTTGTCACTATATAAAAATATATTTCCAATAGACAAAATTCTAGGAAGAATTACTTCATAAAGGAGGAAACAATGGTCAGTAATAAACCCTATATTTTTCAGAAATAAATCTTAAAAACAAAAGAAATGCCAAAATATGTGCTACTTAAAATATGAGCAAAGAAAAAAGGCCAGTGTTGGTGAAGACATCACAAGGAGAAAGGCATGATGTCCAAACTCTCTAGATACTGTAGACATGGAGAGGTACATTAAACGATATAGCCTTTAGCTCAAACTGACAGTCTGCTCCGTAGTATTAGACAGTGTGTGCCAAAGCATCCCGATAGCACTTGCACGAATTTCTTTCTGTTTGCTGTGTTTGATTCAGAGTTTTACTATGTAGACCTGGCTAGTCTGAACTCACTATGTAGACCAAGCTGGCCTCACAGTCACAGAGATCTGCCCGACTCTAATTTCTGAGTGCTGGGATTAAGGTATATGCCACCATACCTGTCTTAGAAATTTATCTTAATGGAACAAGTATACAGGTATATGCAAAAGAAAATTTATTTTAGCACTCATAAGTAGCAAAATAAATGGTCCCTATCCAAATGCCCATTAAGAACTATATAATGTGTGCAATACAACAGAGATTCATGTAACAATTTTAAAGATATGCATCTGTGTGTAGTCATTAATATAAAATCATTTTAAATATATTGGTAATTTTACAGGATAAAATAGCACATAACAGTATGATCTGATTTTCTATCTACATTAAAGTCTGGAAGAATGTTTCCCTAAATATTAAGGAAAATGCTTCTTAACAGTTAAAATCTAAATTAAACAAATGAAAGAACCACTCAAGTAGGTAACTTAATACTTTCAACTTCAAAACATATCCTAAATCTCCCTTCTCAAGATCAACCAGCTCTTTAATAAGAATTTAAAGGTTCCATTTATGACAGAAATTCTCATTACCCTGTTAGAAAATTATCTGCCATTTTCTAAAAATCAACCTACATCCTTGCTATTTTGATTTATATTATGAAGAAGCACCCAACTTATAGTTTAGAAAAAATTTCTAATAATTTACATCAGCATTTTATAAAGCTAGGGTAAAATCAATAAACATGTTATGATACACTAGAGGATATGAAAAACTCACTCCAAAGCGGTTGTGGTCAAATGCACTGACTATTTTTTTCATTACCTTGGCTTTAACGAATTGGACTATTGGACCAAGTTCTGATACTACTTGATTTCCCACATGAATAAAAGGTACTTTTCCTGTTGAGGGAGAAAAGACGTGAGAAAACAAACAGTTTCAATAAATTAAAGTTTGTGCTAGTAAAAATAAAAAATAAAAATAAGAAACTCAAAATGTTTTATTCATAAAGAAATACTGTAAAATTAGAGCCAGAAACATCTGCTGAAGTCTAAGTCATTTAAGCAATGACTGTCAATAAATTTTAAAACAAAAGAGCCAAGCACAGTAGCACAGCACTCTAATCCCAGAGCTCAGGAGGCTGTCGTAGGAGGATTCTAAGGTCAAGAACAGCCTTGAAAGTAAAATTCTTTCTCAAAATTAAAAAACAACTAAAATTCATGCAGGGAGAAGAAAAAAGTACAAGTAGATTCATTTAGAGTTCTTGCCTGGATATATCAACACATCACTACATTCTCACTTCAGAGCTAACATTATAATAATTACTCAAATTACATGGACCAAGCCAAGACACTAGTTCAAGATGAGTTAAAACTTTCAAAAGAAGTTTAAATGGAATTTCTCATTAGGGTACAGTGTAAAACCTCAATCTATATTGAAAAGTAGTTTTTCCTTTTCAAAAAAAGGGTCTGACTCTGTAGTCCTGGCTGACCTGGAACTCACTGTGTCAATTATACTGGCCTCAAACTCCCAGAGATCCACCTGCCTCTGTCTTCCAAGCGCAGGTAAAGGTAGTTTTCAAAAGATTTCTTTTATGATTTCTAATTTTAAATCTGATACCTACTGAAGTAGTATATTTAGTACATAAATAAATGACTCAAAGAATTTACCATCTTAGAGAGTATGCTAGTTTGAGTTATGTTCTCCCAACACATGAGAGAAAAAAAAGAACAAAACAGTATGCTTATGAAAATGTGAACACCAAGGGACATCACTCAGCTTAGAGCTAGTGTTTGACCAGCCTGCATGAGGCCTTAGTTTCACATCTCAGTAGGGGGGTGAGGGAGAGAAAGAGAAAAAGAAAACTGGTATCTTTAACCAAATGCCACATTAGAGAGTAATATTCCATTTTGATAAACACTAATGCTTAATACAATTATTAAATCTCTACATAGTAAGCTAGTCCACTCCAAATGTGAAAAGATGGAACATGCTGTCAGATTTAGTTCAACCAGAGTTCACACTAACAGCAGGCTTTCTCCAGCTACTCGAGTATCTTCACGTCTCTGGCTCGGTCAGCCTGAGGGTAATGGATGAGGTGCCTGGCAGCAATAAAAGCTTCATCTGCATCTATGGTATAACACTACAAAGAAAAGGCAAGCCTTTGACACACAACACTCACTAGAGAGATTTAGAAGGCTTTTCCCTCTTACCAATGGTGTATTGTTTCTACTGCTTTATAACTCAGAGAGAGAAAGAGAGAGAATATCTAAACTGGATAAACACTGGGATTTGGGCCATATTGTTTTGTTTTGACTTAGAAAAGATCTTTATTGGAGTAAATACAAGTCATCTGCCATTTTGGGGAAAAAAAAAAACTGTTTCATGCCTAGACAATATATAATGAAATATGAAGTGTAAGATTTTTATTATTTGATGTGTGTGGATGTGTGTACACATACATATACATGAATGACAGTATCCATAGAATGAAAGGAATAGGATAGGAACTGGAGCTATGGGTGATTTTAAGCCACAGAACATGGGTGCTGGGATCTGAACTCTGGTTCTGTAGGAGAGGCGCACGAGCTCATGTCTCCAGCCCCCTGAAGAATAACATTTTTAGAAACAGAATATTTCTTTTTCAAGAATTCGTTTCAAGTTCCTAGAGGTGAGTACTTTGTTTTCTTGAAGATACATTAAATGGGGCTGGAGCGGAGGTTAGTGCTTGCTGCACAAGCATGAGGACCTAGTTCAGACTCCAAGGCCCCTCAGGAAAGGCCAAGAGCACTGTGACCCCAGCACTAAGAGATGGAGACAGAAAGATCCCACGGCTGGCTAGTCAATTAGTCTAGCCAAATGGTAAACTACTGGTTCAGAAATCTTATTTCAAAAGAAAAAAAAAAAATCAACAAAATGGTGGAGAGCTACAAAGAAAGACATTTCAACTCTGCTTCTCACATGTGACACACCCTCACCTACACCCACATACATATGTGAAGCATTTGTAGTAATAAAGCAGGGAAACAATGTGGCTGGTCAGCTGATGTGCATATACATGTAATAAAGGAACACAGTAAAAGTTCAAGCCACAGAAGAGAAGTGGATGATCCTCCTCTTCTCACTAGTCTAACCGCAGTCATGCGCAGTCTTTACCGCAGGTATTAAGTGAAAACTGTAGCAAGACAATTCTCGGCAAAGTGGAGCTGTGTGTTGTTTCTCATTTTAGACAGGAGTCACTCCCGATCATTTTTGTCTTTTTTGTCCAGGTCTACGTTTGTGTGTCTGTGTGTGTACACATGCACACGTGTGTACCAGTGTACTCACTCATGCAAGCATAAATGTGCAGAGGCCAAAGGTTGCCATCATTGTCCTTTATCATTCTTCTCTCACTATCCACCTTAGTTTGATTTTTGAAACAGTCGATCACTGGACTTAGAGCTCAAGGATTAGCTAGGTTGGCACACCTGTTTCCTATCCCTAGGACTGCAGGAGGTGCTGGCATGCCCAGCTCGGTGTTTGGGTGCTGGGGATCTGAACTCTGAGCCTTGCATGTGCACAGTTAAGTACTAAGCCTTCTCTCTAGCCCTAATTATTTCTTTCCTTTTTCTCTAAAGACAGCAATAACATGTTGTCAAGTCTGTATATTCGGACAATGCTACCTAGAAACTTAGATGGCATCTAATCTGAGTATCTCATGCAACACATGAAGTCGCTGAAGTTCAAAGAGAAGGAAAATCCCCCAAGGAAATAGCTACTAACTGGACAAAGTAACAAGACCAATGACTTCCTGTTAGCCAAAAAAGGTCCCTAACCACCCGATGTTCTCTGCTTTAAAAGTCTATGATAAGCTGAATATGGTGACGCACGCCTTTAATCCCAGCACTCAGAAGGCAGAGACAGATGGATCTCTGTGAGTTCATGGCCAGCCTGGTCTACATAAAGAAGGACAAGAAGGACAAAGAAACACAGTGAGAGTGGTGGTCTGAATGAAGATGGCACTCATAGGCTCATAGAAAGTGGAACTACTAGAAGTGTGGCCGTACTGGAGGAAGTGTGTCACTGGGGGAGGGGGTGGGCTTTGAGGTTTCAGAAGCTCAAGCCAGGCCCAGTGTCTCCCTCTCCCTTCTGCTGCCTGCTGATCTGGATGTAGAACTCTTAGCTACCTCTCCAGCACCATGTCTGCCTGCATACCATCATGCTTCCCACCATGATGATAATGGACTAAACCTCTGAACTGTAAGCAAGCACCAATTCAATGGTTTTCTTTATGAGAGCTGCTGTGGTCATGGTATCTCTTCACAACCACAGAAATAAGAGAGTGAGCACTTGTCTCTTTACAAAAAGAAAAATAATTAAATATCAAGCAGGCAGAATTTTTAAAGGAAAATTTGCATCCTTAACTCCAAATCATGATAAAGGAAATGCTAATTTGAAACAAAATGAAGTATAAATATCTTAGGAGAAAGGCCTACGGGCAGGGTGAAAAGAAAATGATAAACATAGGTAATTCCTAAATAATCACCATATCAAAATTGACAAATTTTTGTATGTATAAAACCACGCATTAGTTGCACACCCCTTTATTCCCAACACTTGGGAGGCAGAGGGAGGTGGATCTCTGTGGGTTCTAGGTCAGCCTGGTCTACAAAGCAAGTTCCAGCAAAGCCAGAGCTGTTGCACAGAGAAACCCTGTCTCAAAAAGCCCAAAGAAATAAAATTCAACCAAGAAAAAAAAAAAAAAAACAAGAGAAAATTACACACAATCACTTATTCATGAAGGAGTGGTTCTGTCTTAGTATTGATCCAGCAAAACTATAGTTAAAATAATCTGTGACATTATATTTAACATTTAATTAGCTTTGCAGCATTGCATTTCTATACCAAAATTATTTGAATCCTATTTATATAGCATTAGTTAAATCTACTGGCATATAACACAAAGAAAGATCATCCTGATCATTACATCTGCTAGCATAACACACAGACAATCCTTATCATTTAAAAGAGTAAAAGTGAAGCTTTAATAAAAATACTTCAAACACTAGGGAAAAAAGTCATCTCAGTGATTAATTTTAACCAAGACCTAGTGACAATTTCATTATTTATTGAGCTTTCTTCTTCTACCTGTTCAATAGGAAACATCACTTAGGCATGTTGAATAATAAACAGATTCATTAAGATTTGCTTTCTGATAAGGAAAACCCTATACATAAGACTGAGGAAAGCTGACATCATATACGTCCTTAACATTCCCGTTAAACACCTCATGGCAGAGTTGAAATAAGCAAGTAGACATAGGCCTTCATCGTTACATACCTTATAACAACGGGGAAATAATTCTTCAAACAGAAAAAACAAAAACCAAAACACTAAGGACTTTAACATCAGGGGCTAGAAATAAGGCTCGTGGTAAAGCACTCGCCTAGCATGTCCAAGGCCTCAGGTTCAATCCTCAGTATCAAATAACAAACAGAAAACACACACACTTACCAGATGGAGACATATATTCTGCATTTGCCCTACACACCACTTTGACAGGCAGATTACACATCTGCAAAAAGGCCTATAAATAAAGAGAAATAAAGCAACTTTAATAAAAACATAGCATATTTAAAGAGAACTCTTCCTGAATTCCTTTTCTAAACTTAATAGTCTATACAGTAATACTCCACTGGAAAATGATGAGCCAGTTTAAAGTTTCCAAACAGAAAATCATTTTACTTAAAAAAAGACTAAGTCATTATTAAATAAATAAAACTTGAAACAATTACATATACTTAAAAAAAGTGTTATTCTCATTTTCCATTACTTTATGTAAATAAGCAATATCACATATTGCTTTAACTTTCTTTAATGGATAACTAATATCAAAATTTCATTAAGATACTGATGGTTTAATTTTTTTATTCATTATCACCACCTTTCTCATCTTACTGGAAAATTCAAAATGTTGTATCTACTTCAATGTCTTTTCCAGTAATACTCAAAATACTGATTTGTGGTTTCTATGATAATTAATTCATCATTTAAGACTTAAAATTGGGAGCTGTGAGATAGGCCAGTGAGTAAAGGGGCTTGCCACCGCGCCTGACAATTTGAGTTTGACCCTCAGAACCCACGTGGTGAAGGACCAGAACCCCACAAGTTGTTCTCTGACTTCTATACATACACAGTAACATGTTCTCTCTCTCTCTCTCTCTCACACACACACACACACACACACATATACACCTAATAAATAAACATAAAATTTTTAGAATTTAAGGAGGCATTTTCACTTGGTTTAATGAAAGAAAAATTTAGTAAGAAGTTAAATGTCTAACAATAAAGGAATACTAGATAAATTATTATACATCCAAAACTGGAATGTTATACAACTACTTTAAAAGCTTATGCTTGTGAAGAATTTATGAAGGAAAAAAAGGACCAGGTGGCACACGCTTTTAGTCCCAGAACTCAGGAGGCAGGCAGCTCTCTGAGTTCAAGGCCATCCTGGTGTACATAGTGAGTTTAGGACAGCCAGGACTCCATGGTGACACCACCTCAAAAAAAAAAAAAAAAAAAAAAAAAAAAAAAATACACATATGCAAAACTGCATTACATACATTCTGATTCATTTTTAAATGATTTTTAGGACACAAGTCAACTCTACAAATCTATCACTCCTTGTAACACTTCAAGTGTGCTCGTCTTGTTCTCTTTGTCTTTTCCTCTTACAAACTTTTCTAATGTTCTTTCTAAAAATAGTTCATTCACTGAGAAGCCATAAGTTACTGAAGTTCTATTTCCCACATACAAATTAGAAGGTTTTCCCAAGTTAATGAAACAATAAAAACAGTCAAATGTGAGTTGCCATGAATTATTTAATTAATCATTAATTAATTATTCAAATAATTATTAAATATTTAATTATTTAACAAGGCTATTATTTATCACATATTATTATGAATACAACAGCCTGCTCATACCCAATACAATTCTCTCTTAAGAGCTGTTTCCTATGATTCCTTTTCCCTTCCAGAATGAAAAGTCAGTCTTAGGGCTCATTAAGTAGTTGACAGCACTGAACACAACATCCTATACAAAATTCCATCTAACCACTTTAAAACTAAGTAAGACTAAGTAAAACTAAGTTCCAGGCCAGCCTGGGCTACATTACCAAAACCTGTCTGAATATAATGAAATAAAGCTTTCTTATTTTAAAAGTAGGTCGATTAAAATTCTAGTCCTCAGTTGGAGGATCAGTCTCAGAAAAGACCCCCGTGCCCAGATATTTTGGTTCTGTTGCTCTCCTTGTGTAGCTCCTGTCCTCTCCAGGTCCCACTATCTTTCATAGGATTCCTGGCACTCTGCCCAAAGTTTGATTAAGAGTCTCAGCATCTGCTTTGATACACTGCTGGGTAGACTCTTTGGATAAAACCAAAAACTACTGCTCAGATGTAGCCCATGGCAGCTCAGTATCCAAGTGGGCTCCCTAGTAAGGGGAACGGGGACTGTCTCTGACATGAACTGATTGGCCTGCTCTTTGATCACCTCCCTCTGAGGGGGGAGTAGCGTTACCAGACCATAGAGGAAGACAATGCACCCACTCCTGATGAGACCTGATAGACTAGGATCAGAAGGAAAGAGAGGAAGACCTCCCCTATCAGTGGACTTGGGGAGGGGCATGCTTGGAGAATGGGGAAGGAGGGATGGGTTTATGAGGGGATACAAAGTGAATAAAGTGTAATTAATAAAAATTAAGATAAAAATATTTTAAAAATTTAATTAAAAATAAATAAATAAAATTAAAAAAATTCTAGTCCTCTAGAAATACAGAAATGGCTTCCCTCTAAAAAGAAATCATCCCCTTTACTCATAGCCTGACTACTTTATTTTGTAACTTACGTACATCCGATCTCTCCAAGCAAGACATATCTTAGAAAGCCAAAGACTATGTTTTCCTTTTTTGTTATTTCTTTTGGCCTCCTCACCACCTCTTTCATTTTCCCACGACCAATTTGTAATGGTGCAGTACTTGATGCTAAGCATCTGATGTTGCTTACTGGCAATGTCACTTAAGCGCACCAACAGAAACAGCCCAGAGTTTACTAGGGCGGATGCTGTTATCTGCCCTACCTCAGCCATTCCTGCCCTCCCCTTTCCCTGCAGTGAAGTCTTAGAAGCAGAGTCTAAGTCCAGGTCCTGGTTTATCTCCAGCACTACAAAAGGGACATGTTCTATGGAAACAGACATAGTGAGAAGAAACAGACAGAGCAGTTGTTAGTGATACGGAGGACAAACAATCGGGTGGAAGGGAGCTGGTCAGAGAACTGGACCTTTCTCTGCCCCACAAAGGAGGCAGAGATCAGTGATGACTGCAACCTGACTGAAAGAAAAGTAAAAAGACAAGGGATGAGGAAACACGTCAGTCAGGAAAAGTTCAGCTCAAACTTGAGGGCCTGAGTTTGGCTCCCTAGCACCCACATAAAAAAGCCAGGTACAGAGGGTGAGCCACCCGCCCCCAGAGTGGGAGGAAGAGGAAAAGCAGAATCCTCAAGCTTACTGGCCAGCTGGTCCAGCCACTCACTGACTTTCAGGTTCAGTGAGACCTCATCTTAAAAAATAAGGTGAAGTGGCCACGGTGGTCCATGATTTTAATTTTTAATTTCAGCATTCGAGATGAAGAGGCATTTCTGAGTTTAAGTCCAGCTTGCCAGAATTACCAAACAGTGAGACCCTGTCTCAAAAAAAAAAAAAAGTGACTGAGGAAGACACCTGACATCACCCTCTGCTCTCCAGACACATGCACACATATGCAGATGCAAACGCACAAAAATGACAAAAAAATGAGAATGTGCTCATATTAACTGTGAAATATGAAGAGAAAGCATTTGTTAAGAAGGAAAGTCTAAGAGGGACTAAGACCTTCAATGATGCAAGAGTTTGAAAGAATTTAGTCTTTTTCAAAGGCCTGAATAATATTCAACTGTTGATTAACAATCATTAATATAATAAATATGGTACAAATGGTATGAAATCATACTAAATGTATAATCATATCAACCAATACTCCATAGAACTTTAGTTCCCTTTTAAAAGTAGAATTATACTGTTGTACAATAAAAACCCATACTTAAACCCAAAATTGTTTATTTCTTTTATTTTTATTACTTTTTATTAATTTTGACCAACTTAACAGCACTCAATGTACAGGAGACATTCACCTAGAGCACACTTCTTGTTAGACAAAGATTGATTTTGTAGCATTAATACATCTACTCTTTATCACTGGTTCTGAAGTAGTTTCTGAATTCATCTGAAGTTCATAAAGAAGTTTGATATTATGCAGCACTTCCATCCAAATATTTAAAATGAAAAAGCAAAGCATACCATAATTATATTCAACAATGTGAAAACTTTAAAGTAAAAGAAAGCTCTCACTTAACTAGTATTTATTTGTAGGATGGAAAGAAACTGAAGTTCAAAAGTAGTATTTTCGCTTTAATACCCTGCTGGGTAGAGTCTTTCAGAGGCCCTCTGTGGTAGGCTCCTGTCTTGTTCCTTGTTTTCTCTATCTTCCAAGGTCTATCCCATTTGCCTTTCTGAATGAGGATTGATCATCTTACCCAGGGTCCTCCTTCTTGCTTAGCTTCTTTAGGTGTATAGATTTTAGTATGATTACCCTGTATTATATATCTAATATCCACTTTTAAGTGAGTATATACCATATGTGTCTTTCTGCTTCTGGGACACCTCACTCAGGAAGATCTTTATCAGCCCCCACTACTTACCTGTAAAATTCATGACTTCCTTGTTTTTAATTGCTGAGTAATATTCCATTTTGTAGATGTACCATAATTTCTGTATCCATTCCTCAACTGAGGAACATCTGGGTTGTTTCCAGATTTTGGCTATTACGAATAAGCTGCTACGAATATGGCTGAGCAAATGTCCTTGTTGCATACTTGAGCATATTTTGGATATATGCCTAGGAGTGATATAGCTGGATCTTGAGGTAGCACTATTCCTTATTTTCTGAGAAAGCACCAAACTGATTTCCAAAGTGCTTGTGCAAGTTTACATTCCCACCAGCAATGGAGGAGGCTCTTTTTCCACATCCTCTTCAGCATGTGTTATCACTTGAGCTTTTGATCTTAGTCATTCTGATGGGTGTGAGGTGAAATCTCAGGGCCATTTTGATTTGCATTTCCCTGATGACTAAGGATGTTGAGCATTTTTTTAAGTGTTTCTCTGCTATTTGGTATTCCTCTATTGAGAATTCTGTTTAGCTCTGTACTCCATTTTTTAATTGCATTACTTGATTTGTTGTTGTTTCATAGCCAAACTTTGGGCAGAGTGCAGGGAATCTTATGAAAGAAGGGGAGATAGACCTGGAGGGGACAGGAGCTCCACGAGGAGAGCAACAGAACCAAGAAATCTCGGCCCAGGGGTCTTTTTTGAGACTGATACTCCAACCAAGGTCCACTCATGGAGATAACCTAGGATCCCTGCACAGATGTAGCTCATGGCAGCTCAGTCTCCAAATGGGCTTCCTTTGTAAGGGGAACAGGGGCTGTCTCTGACACGAATTCAGTGGCTGCTCTTTGATCACCTCCCCCTGAGGGGGGAGGGGCAGCCTTACCAGGCCACAGATGAAGACTATGAAAGACAGTCCTGATGAGACCTGATAGGCTAGGGTCAGATGGAAGGGGAGGAGGACCTCCCTATCAGTGGACTGCGGAAGGGGCATAGGAGGAGATGAGGGAACAAGGGAGGGCGGGCTTGGGAGGGGATGAGAGTAGGAGCTATAGCTGGAATACAATGTGAATAAATTGTAATAAATTTAAAAAATTATCTTATTTAAAATATAGTATTTTTACCTTTCACTTTTTTTCATATTTTTAAGTGTATAGGGGAAAGGGAAGATGTACACATATGTAGGTGTCCATGGAGGTTAGAGGCTACATATCCCACTAGAACTTGAGTCACAGGTAGTTGTGAGCCATCCAACACTAAGAACCCAAATAAAAGAACAGCATGAGCTCTTAACCACTAAGGTATCTTTCTAGGCCCTCATTTCTGTTCTCAATGTTAACCACAAAACTGCTCCATAAAATAGCCATGATACAGCAACCTAAAATACATTGTTTTTTTATCTGAAGTAAAAATATTTATTTTTATTCTTAGAAGAGAAAAATGTACTCGTGGTTATAACAATGAAGTTAGGCTGACTAAACCTCCTCTTCTTCAATTGGACACTTAATTCCAAACAGTTCAAAGAAATTACACCATGAAACAATTTTCTTAGTATATCCTATCCCGATGTTTTGTTACCAGGCTATCTAACATGGTAAGTACTAGCAACAGGTTGCTATTTAGGTCAAATTTAAGTTTAATACCATTGTATAAAATACTAAAATCATTTTCTCAGGCAACCTAGTCATTCTTCCACATTTAAGAGGCATTTGTGACTAAGGTCTAAACTTTTGTGGGATGGGGTGATGTTGGCTGTTAGTCTACTATATAGCATGGGTTATAACATAAAAGATAATGAGGCACAAGAGGGTGACATCATCTAAAAGTGACTAAACATTATAAAGACAAAAAGAGATGGCTCAGCAGCATCCCAAATAATATGCGCAGCACATTTCAAGTCTTTATTACCAAATATACTAATAATATTCCAGAAGGAAACGTGGGGGGTGGGGGGGGAATCAATTAAATTAAATTTAAAACCAAAAGAATCATCCATTTCCAGAAAACAGGTTAATGATTTTTAATGATTCCTGCAGCCATTCCTCTCCTGACCACATAAGCCTCTCCCACTCCTTAACACCCTCAGGTTAAGTATCCCAGAAGAATCTAATGGATCTCAAAGCAAGTTGAACTGCCTCAGGAGAAAGACCAGCACGAGCAGATGCCAGAAGAATGAGAGTCCCTACAAGTTGGTAACTGGTGGTGAGAGGACATCTGGGTGGACCTTAGGGACTTTATCAGCTTGAAAGTTCTGTATGTCTATAAATTTTCTAACATCTGGAATAAAACAACTACCTAGGTAGGTTATTTTATATACCATCTGGCACAGAGCACTTCAATATAAGGTTTTATAGTGGTGGTGGAGATGGTGGTGGGGATAGTAACCTGTTTACCCACCTGAGGAGTAACACTAACTTTGATGACTTCAAAAGAAAGCTGATTCCATGTATTTATTACTTTAGGCACCTACTTATGAAAAAAAAAATATTATATACTGTAATTACATTTTTATATAAAACAAAAAGCAAATTTGCAGGCTAAAATTAAAATCTTTAGATACTCCAGGAATAAATAAAATAAACTATTTTTTGAAAGAACAATATAAGTACTGAATTTTTCTTTCTGACTGGATGTGAGACTTATCACTGAACATGATCTGGTAGGGCACAGGAGAGCACTGTGGAACCCTCAAAAATGCAAGGCCCACTACTTGTGTAGGGGAGCACTATTAGAGATATATGTGATGCGATCAGAAATGAGCTGCTTCTCGGGGACCAGGTCTTCAAACTTATCTGCATTAAACTTAGTGAAGGCCCACTTCTTTGAGATGTGGATCTTCTGGCTCTATGCAGACTCTGCAGTGTGACGTGGATGGACACAATGACCTGACCAATGTGAACCCTGGCCACTGTGCCCTGGGATTCCCAAGAGCACCACGCATACCTGTCTGGAGCCTGCCAGCCCCAGCTCAGGACAGCACATGTTGATCTGGATGACATGAAAAGGGTGCAGCCTCACTTGAATATGAAAGCCATTTTTGCCACAACTCTTTACCATGGATTTATTGACACAAACACAGATGACCTCCAGAGCTCTGAGGATAGCTGCTCGATAGTTGCTCATATTGATCTGACACCACAGAGCCACAAAGTGGGAATTCATCAACTTTTGCCTCCTTTTGTCCAAAGTCAAAGATGCAGCTCTTGGCATGAGGGACACCTTGGCAAAAGCGATTTTGGGTACGGCTTGTTTTTATAATATCCAGCAGTAAAACGCCAGGAGAAAAAAGTAATGATTTATTTCAACACACATAATAACTATATAATCTTTTCTAACAAAGCAAAAGCAAGCAAATAAACACATGGTACTGACATAAAGCTTTTACTTTGTAATTATCAAAATCATGCAGAATGATGAACCTTCAGAATGTAGGTTCCATCAGTACCTGCAGATCATGATTGTCTTTACGACCCATCCTTGGCATAAAACTAGGTTCTTGAAAAGCACTGGCAAGATAGTGAAGATTAGGATTTTTCTTTTAATTTTATGGATCCAAAACTCAGTGTGTTAAAAATCCCCTCTTATTAAGTAGTGCTTTAAGAAATCAATGCTTACACACATCAACAAACACATTTACAAATTGAATTTGTAAACTAACAAATTCAATTCACTTATTTAGTAATCAGAAAATGTAACTCAATAAGCAAAAGGTGCTCTCCGTAAGGCAAATCGGTTACCAAAGCACATATAAAGACAGATTATATCAGAGAACAACACCTTCCTTAGTCCACACTCCCATGAAAGCTATTCTTGGAATATCTGACTCAACTTTAGATACATCAACATACCACAGCTTGGAAAAAAATTAGATTCTTTATAAAAAGCAACCAAAATCAAAATAGAAAAAGAAACAGGATTTGCCTGTTAGAATTACATATAAATGAAAATAAATCTTTAAGGGAAAATTAAGCAAAAGAAGTATAAAACAAACACAGAGAAAGAATAATTCTTGTCCACCAAGAACCTAACAAAACCAACAGCACAGCTGGCACTCAAGACCGAAGTGAAGGGAAAGCAAAGCTCTTCCTAAACTCTATGAAGAGTTACATAAAGTTGTGTTTTAGTCCAAACTGAAAACGATAATAGTGACAAAAGATCTAATTTTTGTAAGCTAAACAGATGGTAAGGACATGTAATATACTTACTTCACTTTAGTGAGGTAATTGTAAAACAAAACTGGATGTTTATCAGTCAGCAGCAACAGCTAGCTTTTTTCCTCTTCTTTATTTGAAGATATGTTAATATTTGTCTTACAAGTTAAACATAGAATACTCTCATTAACTACTTACTAGCAGTAAATCAGCCAAGTGCCAATAAAATGTTAAAAAAATTCAAAATTTTAAAGATTTTCATTAATCAAAACTTAACAGTTCTGAGCACTTTCTATGGCTTATTACGTCCCACAGAGCACAGTAACAAACCTACTCCATGTCAAGGTAAGTGCACAGTCCACACATTTTAGGACAAAGACGGCTCACATCATAATTACGGCTAAAACACTTTACGTGAGAATTCACAGGGCTTATTCTCAAGCAGGCAACGACACTTTCAGGGTAGAAAATGAAATGATTCTGAATTTTAATTCCTATCCTGTTCCACAGGCACACAAAGAAAAATCTGTGGTGACAACTAAAGAATTATTTTCTACCTTACCGAAGAGAGATGTTTTAAAATTAAAAACCATGAACAAATCTATCCACAAAATAATTCATTTTATATCAAACACCTGCAGACCCATAATTGAAATAATGTATCTAATGTTACAAATGAGAAGTGTTGGGTATCATTCTTAAAAAGACATATTAAGTTCCTAATACAGTTACAGTAATAGCTCTATTTGTAGTTTAACATAAATTAAGACTGTAATTATATTTGTGACTATTTTAAACAAAATAACAAATTCCTTTGTACCTGTGAATGTAATTTATAGCAAAGCCACGTTCATTTTCCAAACCAATCTATTTCACACTGCAGAGGTACTCTGGTATAGCGGTATAATGTAATTCTTGTGGAATGTTGAAAGAGTAGATTCACTAAAAGCACAGGAGAGGTTTGAAGATAAATGAAGATGCTATTCATTCAAGGGTAATTTCATCTTAGAACTATATGAAAGATGTTTCACTCACACAGTATATGGTCTCAAATTTAAGTGTGTTTTCAGCCCAAATATAATACTGCTAGATCGATTACATTGATACTATACATCTAATAATGAAGAATGCTAGCATTTTTCTACCAAAAAATATTGTCTTCTTACTACTACGTCTTTATTGTTCTATTTAACTGCAACAAAATTTAACATACAGCTTGCTATTTACCTTTTAAAGAAACAAACAAAAAAAGTAGTGATACTCAACTTATGATTTCTCAGAGACCTATAGAAACAGATTTTTAATAGCCATTTAAATACTTAAATAAATATATTAGAAAATATTACCTGGTATAAACTATTTCACAAATTACTAAAAATAACAACTTAGCCACCTATTTAATTCTGAATATAGAATACTTCATGAGTGTAAACCCTACAAGGCTAGGTCAGATGCTTTACACACATCATACCACGTATGTGCTAAAGAACTAATATGAATATTGAGATTGTTTTACTCTGTTAAGTTCTGCTTACAATCTAAGTTCAGTTTCATTTTATAAACATCACATTTTATACTTATTCATACTTTATACTTCATAACTCATGCCAGGTGTTGTAAGTGTAACTTACCATCATGACCTAATTAATGTGTTGTAAAACAATAAACCTCAAGAATTTAAATTTAAAATCAATGATATCAAGGAAATGTCTGCAGTCTCCATCTTGCTCATTTTAGAATAATGAGGATGGCTGTTACTATGTTCTTTTCTTAGTTATTACTGTCTTCTCTTAACTCTCAAAATAAATACAAAAACCTCATTTTAGAGAGTATAATCAAACTGACAGATATATTTTAAAAATCTTTAAATTTAAATTTCATGAAAACTATAAACTAGCTTTAATTATTAAATATTTTCTCCAAAAAATAGTACTCTATTCATTCTGTATTAAAACATATCAACTGCCCTGATGATGCAGCGTTGCCAGGCTATGGGAGGAAGAGGATTCAAGCAGTCCTGATGAGACTTAAGCTATAGGCAGATGGCAATAGTGGAGAACTCCCCCTTTCTGTGGACTAGGGGAAAGGGATGAGGTGAAGGAGGGCAGATAGGACTGGGGAGTTGAGGAGGGGCGCTTCAATCGGGATACATAATGAATAAATTGTGAAGAAAAAAACTAAAATTTAAAAAAAAAAAAAAA